CTGGCTTTTTTTTTTTCTTTTTGCTTATGTGGTGCTGAGGAATCAAACCCAGGGCCTCAGGCATGCAAGGCAAGCACTCTACCACTGAGCTACCTTCTCAGCCCTGGTCAATATTCTTTTATGCATGCTAGACTTTCTATTTAGATTTATTTTTCTTCTTTTTTTTTTTTGGTCATGGAGCTTGAACTCAGCCTGTCCCTAAGCTCTTCATATCTGCTGATTGAAAGTGTAGACTACAAGTTTATAACTTCTTAAAATATTCTGAGTTAACACATATTCATAATGTGAGGGGATTTTGTTGCATTTTGTTTGCTAGAGTGTGAACTCTGTGCCTTGTGATGGCTACCACTGAGTCTTGCCTTCAGGACCTCATTGTGATTTTTTTTTTTTTTTTGGTCGGTCATGGGGCATGAAGTCTGAGCCTAGGCTCTCTGTCCCTCAGCTCTTAAGCTCAAGGCTAGTGCTGTACCACTTGAGCTACAGCACCACTTCTGGCTTTTTCTGTTTATGTGGTGCTGAGGAATTGAACCCAGGGCCTCATACATGCAGGGCAAGCACCATTGAGACACCTTTCCAGCCTTCACTGTGATATTTTTATACATGAATACAGTAAACTGAACAACTTCACACCTCCTCCACCATATTCCCACTGCTTCCCTCCCCCTCTTACAAAGCATATTTCCTAGCCTTCTACCTGGTGCCTGTGTCCCCTGAATAGTAATGATATTTGACATTTATTAAGCACTTTTGCATGCCAACCACTGTGCTGAATACTTTATTGATATAATAAGGAGATACATGATTAGAGAAGTCACTCTGGTATATGGCCAGTAAGTGGTAAACTAGGGATTCAGAGCTCAGACTGCTGGTCTCAGAATGTAGCTCACTGGTAGAATGTGTACTTAGCATGCCCAAAGTCCTGACCAAAAACAAACAAACAGAAAAACCCACAAAAAACATAATGGCTCACTCCTATAGTCCTAGCTACTTAAGAAGCTGCAATCTGGGACTCACAGTTTGGATTAGCCTGGGAAGGCAAATCCATGCAATTTTTATCTGCAATTAACCAGCAAAAAGCCAGAAGTAGAGGAGACATAGATCAAGTGGTGGACTATTAGTCATGAACAAAAGAGCCAAGTGAGAGAGATACCTTCAGAAAAAAACAAACTCCTAACCATGTCTGCTATGTCTATGTCTACATCTTCCAAATGGTTGCTTAGCTTCTGTTTTATTCCTTTATTTATTTATTTATTTTGCCAGTCCTGGAGCTTGAACTCAGGGCCTAAGCACTCTCCTTGAGCTTCTTTTGCTCAAGGCTAGCACTCTGCCACTTGAGCCACAGTGTCACTTTTTTCTGTTTATGTGGTACTGAGGATTCGAACTCAGGGCTTCATGTATGCTAGGCAAGTACTCTACCACTAAGCCACATTCCCTGCCCTTATTCCTTTAATAGCTGCCTATTTTATTTCATGCCAGTACTAAGGCTTGAACTTAGAGCCTAGATACTGTCCCTGAGATTTTTCTGCTCAAAGTAGATTGTCTGTCTGTCTCTGTCTCTCTCTTTCTCTCTTTCTCTCTCTCTCTCTCTCCTTGGTCATGGGGCCTGAACTGTGGTTCTGAGTGCTGTCCCTCAGCTCTTCAGCTCAAGTTTAGCGCTCCACCACAGCACTACTTCTGGCTTTTTCCGCTTATGTGATGCTGAGGAATGGAACCCAGAGCCTCATGCATGCAAGGCAAGCATTCCACCATTGAGCCACCTTCCCAGCCCAATGCTCTATCTCTTGAGCCACAGCTCCACTTCTGGCTTTTTGGTGATTAATTGGAGATAAGAGTCTCATGGTGAGCTATGGCTCAAGTGGTAGAGTGCTGCCCTTGAGCAAAAGAAGCTCAGGAACAGTGCCCAGGCCCTGAGTTTAAGCCCTAGGACTGGCACCAAAAAAAAAAAAAAAGTCTCTACTGCCTGGGCTAGCTTTGAATCATGATCCTCAGATCTCAACCTCCTGAGTAGCTAGAATTATAGATGTGAGCCATCAGCACCCTGCTGAGGTGGTAACTTTGAAAATAACATTCATAACTTATATGAGGAACTTTAGAAAGTACATTTACCCATATTGAATAATAGAGATTCCAAACCAGTTCTGCTTCCCCTTCCCCTTCTCACTCATTGGTTTCTAACAGTATCCTTTCCTTTATATGGCCAGAAGAAAGAACGTTCTCTGCACCAGCAGGAGCTGGATAAGGCTCTGGAGAACCTAAAAAAGGAAAGAATGGAGCTGGAAATGAAGCTCAGGGAGCAGCAGACAGAAACCGAGGCTATCCAAGCACAGAGGGAAGAGGAACGGACCCAGGCGGACAATGCCCTCTGCCAGGTGGGAAGCTAAGATTGGAATTGCACATCTTTCTGTAATCCCTCAATCTTTGTCCACTTCCTTTTCTACTTCCAGAAGGATGCCACTCACTTTGCCACCAGTAGTAGGGTGGTCTATTAACTGAAAGGCAGGCAGTATGTCATACTTCCTGAGGGAGGGTTTACATTTACCACATCCTCTCAGCCTGCAAACCAGTGGCAATCTTTGTACTTCCTGGTTCTGAGTCATTGTGCTCAGACTTTTCTTTTCCTTCAGCCTCCACTCTGTTTGCTGGAAGAGCCCTGGAACAGCTAGGATGTGCATATAGACTCCTGGATGAGCATGATAACTTGGAGCCAACAAGTGCTTGCCTTTCTGTCCTCCACAGATGCAGCTGGAAACAGAGAAGGAGAGAGTGTCCCTCTTGGAGACACTGCTGCAGACCCAGAAGGAACTTGCAGATGCCAGCCAGCAGCTGGAACGACTAAGGCAAGACATGAAGGTTCAGAAGTTAAAGGAACAGGTATGGAAGATAATTCTGGGTGTCCACTCACCCATTCGACAATGAATAATATGCCTTGTTCCCGGTGCTGATGCATGACAGGTGCATAAAGGTGTGACCCAGTAGGCAACAGGATGGACACAGTCTTTGTCTTCAACTTGTATTCTGATGGCAGAAACAGACACAAAATAAGCAGATCCAAAAGTAAATGAGATAGATTTTAGTAAGTTGGAAATAAGTAAGATGACATAATTGAGAGTGATTAGACAAAATAGTCAGGGAAGACCTCACTGAGACAGTGATATGCTAACTGCAACTTGAAGTTCAAAAGAAGTCAATGCGGGCTGGGAAAGTGGCTCAGTGGTAGAGCGCTTGCCTTGCATGCCTGAGGCCCTGGGTTCGATTCCTCAGCACCACATAAGCAAAAAGAAAAAAGCCAGAAGTGGCGCTGTGGCTCAAGTGGTAGAGCACTAGCCTTGAGCTGAAGAGCTGAGGGACAGTGCCCAGGCCCAGAGTTCAGGCCCCACAACCGGACCCCCAAAAGAAGTCAATGCCATGGCACAATACATGCAAACTTAGAAAACCGTATGCCTAGCTGGATGCTGGTGGTTCATGCCTATAATCCTAGCTGCTCAGGTAGCTGATATCTGAGGATCGCAATACAAAGCCAGCCCAGGTAGAAAAGTCTCCATGAGACTCTGATCTCCAATGAACTACTCAAAAACCAGAAGTGGCACTGTGGCTCAAAGTGTTAGAACACTAGCCTTCAGCAAAAGAGCTCAAGGACAATGCCCAGGCCCTGAGTTCAAGCCCCACAATTGACAAAAAAAGAAAACTATGCCAAGGGAGAGGAGCCAGACACATGAGGTATATTATATTCTATTTATATGAAATGCCCACAATAAGCAAATCTTTAGAAACAGAAAGTAGATTAGTGATTGGGAGATGAGATGTGGAATGGGGAATATCTGTTAATGGGGTGCTTCTGGGGGGTAATGAAAATGTTTAAAACTGATCATAGTAATAGTTACTCTGGATATACTGAAAAATATCGAATTGTACACTATGTCTGAGTGAATTGTATGGTAATGATTATGACTCAATAAAACCTTGAAAAAAGAAATCTGGCAAAATCAAGGCCAGACCCTGCCTCATATTAAAAAAATAAAAAGGAGGGGGGGCTGGGAAGGTGGCTCAGTGGTAGAGGGCTTGCCTTGCATGCCTGAGGCCCTGGGTTCGATTCCTCAGCACCACATAAAAGCCAGAAGTGGTGCTGTGGCTCAAGTGGTAGAGCGCTAGCCTTGAGCTGAAGAGCTGAGGGACAGAGCCCAGGCCCAGAGTTCAGGCCCCATAACTTGACCCAAAAAAAGAGGGGAAAAAAAAAAAAGGAGGGAGGGAGGGGGGTTGAGAATGGCTTAGCATACATGAATCCCTGGGTTTGATTCCTCAGTATCACATAAACACAAAAAGCCAGAAGTAGAGCGTGGCTCAAGTGACAGAACACCAGCCTTGAGCAAAAGAAGCTCAAGGACAGCACACAGGCCCTGAGTTCAAGCCCCAGCAATGGCAAAAATAAAGCTGGAATGTTGCTCAGCAGTAGAGCACTTGCTCAGTGTGCTTGAGAGCCTGGGTTCAATCTCTAGTAACAGGCATGTGTGTGTGCACACATAGGTAGGGAGGGAGAAATAGCCAGTGGTTTGAAGAACACTTTAGCCAGATTAGCTGTTATAAGGGTCCTGGTACAGACAGTCAAGGGCACTAGAAGTTGAAGGACAAAAAAGCAGGAATGACTTCTGGGCAGGGATGTAAAGGGGAAAGTGGAGGAAAGCAAAGGGAGGGGTGACAATTATCCAAAAAAGAAATGTACTCATTACCTGATTTATGAAATGGTCACCCCTCTGTACAACACCTTAATAATAAAAATTATATTAAAAGGGGAAAAAAAGCATGTGATGAGCTCAGGGGCAAGTGGAGAGGTAGGTAGGAGTCGTTCCTCAGTCATAGTAGTTTAGATTTTGTTCTAAGGTCAGTGAGAAACTGAGGGATGGCATTTTAAGAGCAGGAATGAGATAGGCCTTTTTTTTATGGTACTGGGATTTGAATTCAAATCCTCATCTATTAGGCTGGTGTACTACCACTTGGGTCACATCTTCAGCCATTGGTTATTTTAAAGATGGAGTCTAGTGAGGTGGGGCTTTGTTTTGTTTTGTTTTTTGTTGTTTTGGGGGGGGCCAGGAGGAGTGTCTGCACATGCGGGCATGTGCTTGTACCAGTTCTAGGATTTGAATTCAGAGCATGGACACTATCCCTGAGCTTTTGTGCTCAAGGCTAGTGCTCTACCACTTGAGCCACACCTCTACTTCTAGCTATTTTGGTTAGTTAATTGGAGATAGTCTTTTAGCCTTTTCTGCCGCAGCTGGCTTTGAACACAATCCTCAGATCCCATCATCCTGAGATTACAGGCTTGACTACCAGTGCCTGGCTCTAGTTAACTTTTTTTGTTTTGGTTTGGGTTTTTTTTGCCAGTCCTGAGTCTTGAACTCAGGGCCTGGGCACTGTCCCTGATCTTCTTTTGCTCAAGGCTAGCACTCTACCACTTGAGCCACAGCGCCACTAAGCCACATTCCCATTTCACTTTTTTTTTTTTTTTTTTTGGTTGGTTGGTTGGTTGTAGATCTTGAGCTCTGGGCCTGGGCGCTGGTCCCTGAGCTCTTCAGCTCAAGGCTAGTGCTCTACCACTTGAGCCACAGCATCACTTCTGGTTTTAATAGGAGATAAATATCTCATGGATTTTCCTGCCCAGGCTGTCTTTGAACCATGATGCTCAGATCTCAGCCTCTTGAATGGCTAGGATTACAGGTGTGAGCCACTGGCACCTGGCTCTAATTAACTTTTATACTTGGGCTTTCCTTAAACTGTTGTCCTCCAATCTCAGCCTCCTGAGAAGCTAGGATCATAGGCATGAGCCAGTACTAGAGAGCAAATCCAAGGCCTTCTGCATGCCAAGACACTCAACCACTGAGCCTTCCATATATATTTAATAAATTCCCTCAGTTGATGAGATGGGAGCAGAGGAGGGCAGACTGACTGGGTGAGTAGGAATCAAATCATCTAGTGGTAGGATATGGACAGGAGAGGAGGCTGTTGCAGTGGTCTGGTGGTCTGGATGAGGGATTATTACAAAGAAGCCTGGATAAGCCTAGGTACTTTATGAGGAAAGAGGGATAGGAAGTGAGAAGTTGAGGTAGAATCAACCTGGCTTGCTGGTTCCTACCTTAGCTCTTGCCCAACCCAACAGAAAGACATTTATACAAGTAGGTTTCAAGACCTACTCCCCCCAGGGCAATCATTCCTGCACTTACTGATTGTTTCCCCTCTGCAGGAAACTGTTAGTATGCTACACACTCAACTCCAGGAGGCTCAGCGGGATCTGACAGTGGCAGCTCAGCGACATGGAGAAGACCTTGCTGCCCTCCAAGAAAAGGGCAGCACTCTGCTACAGGACAAAATAAACCTGCAGAAACAGGTTCCTCTTCCCAGTCCTGCCCTACAGCCCTTCCCAGAACAGCCAGTACTTCCACCCCCCTCTGCAGGACCCTGCTGCCTGAGCTTGAGAGGTCAGAGACAGGCCCCAACCCTGAGTGGAAAGTTGAAGACTGCTCAGAGTTAAGCACATGCTTCTCTGCCCTGTCTCTGTCGATTCTATATCCAGAGATTGAACCGACTGTCAATTGAAAATATTTAGGGATAAAAAATTGAATCTGTACATTTTTTGTCTTGTTATTCTCTAGGACAGTGGAGTATAACTATTTACCTAGCATTTACATTGTATTATGTATGACAAGTATTACTGAGATGATTTTAAATTAGGAGAGAAGGTGCATAGGTTTTATTCAAATACATGAACTGTATATATGGACGGGAGCATCTGCAGACTTTGGTATCTGTGGAAATTGGTTCTAGGAGACCAAAGGACCACTAATGTCTTTGTCTGCGGGTGGTCACAGAGCTTAGGTTTTTCTCAGGCAGATCCAGTTTTCTTTTGTTTATGTTGGTGCAGCTTAAACTCAGTGCACTGTGCTATAGTTCAGCTTTTTTCTCTCGTGGCTAGTACTCTACTACCTAACCATACTTCCAGCAAAGCTTTTTTGCTACTTAATTAATAGAAGATAAAGTCTCTTGCTCAGTTTTAAATCATGAGCCTCCATTTTCAGCCTCCTGAGTAGCTAGAATTACAGGTGTGAGACCCTGGCACCTGGTGGAGCCAGGTGTCAATATATTTTTTTTATTCTCTTCCTAAATCCAATGCTTTTGCTTATTTTTTTTAAACAGTCTTTAACAGTTTTAACAGTCTGTAACCTAGGCTGGCCCCAAATTTTAGCTTAGTGTAGTGGTACATGCCTGTAATCACAGCTACTTGGAAGACAGAGGCAGGAGAATTGAGAATTAAAACAGTACCAGGAAAGTTAGTTAGACCCTATTTCAAAACCAGTTATAAAAACAAAAGGCTGGGGACATAGCTCATGTGGTAGAATGCTTACCTAGCAAGTGTGAGGCCTGTGCTTAATCCTCAGTACTGGGGGTTGGGGAGGAAACACCTCACAATTTTGCTTCAGCCTCTAGTGCTAGGATCCTGGGTATGTGCCATCGTGTCTAGCTAAGTCCAGGGGACTTGAACTCAGAACATCACGCTTTCTCAGCTTGCTTGCTCAGCTGGCATTCTACCGCTTTAGCCACTCCTCCAACATAGCTTTGTGCAGGTAATTTTGGAAATAAAGTCTCACAGAGTTTCCTGGCTTCAAACTGCAGCCAGTCATGGGCTGGGAAGGTAGCTCAGTGGTAGAGTGCCAGCCTTGCATATATGAGGCCCTGGGTTTGATTCCTCGGTACCACATAAGCAGAAAAAGCCAGAAATGGCACTGTGGCTCAAGTGGTACAGCTCTAGTCTAGAGCTTAAGATCTGAGGGACAGAGCCAGGCCCAGAGTTCAGGCCCCATAACCAACAACAACAGCAAAAACCTGCAGTTAGTCCTCCAGATCTGAACCTTCTAGGTAACTAGGATTATAGGCATGTGCCATTGCTGACTGATTTAAGTCCAGTTATCTTACATACCAGATTGTGTTCCTTACTCCAAATCCTGTAACAGATGATATTCTAATTTTTTATTTAAAAATATTTAGTCACAGCCAGGTGCCATTGGCTCATGTCTATTTCAAGCAAACCAGGGCAGGAAGGTCTAAGAGCCTCCATCTCCAGTTCACTACAGAATGCCAGATTGGAGATGTGGCTCAAGTGAGCACCAGCCATGAGCGAGCAAGCCAAGTTGACAGTGTAAGGCCCAGGGTTCAAGCCCCCTGGTACTGTGGGAAAAAGATACTGTCACTATAAACTTACTCCCCACTTTGCCTTCATGTGTAGTTGTATTCAGACAAGATTTTTATTCATATCTACTTTTATATAGTATTTGTGAGGCTGAGAGATAGCCAGGCTAGATGCTATCAGGGAACAAAGAGGTTAAGAACATTTAGAGGGGCTGGAAAGGTGGCTCAGTGGTAGAGTGCTTGCCTTGCATGCATGAGGTCCTGGGTTTACTTCCTCAGCACCACATAAGCAGAAAAATCTGGAAGTGGTGCTGTGGCTCAAGTGGTAGAGTGCTAGCCTTGAGCTGAAGAGCTGAGGGACAGCACCCAGGCCCAGAGTTCAGGCCCCACAACTGGCAAAAAAAAAAAACCAAACAGTTAGAGATTGGAATCTCTAGTGTTATAGAGATAGGCCATTCCCTGTGCGAGACCCTAAAGCCCTAGGCTAGAAGGATACTCCCACTGGCCCTCTGCTCTGCCATCTGGTTCTTATGCCTATAACCTTGCAGGTGGAAGATCTGAAGTGTCAGCTGGTGGCCCAGGATAACTCCTACAAGCTGGTGGAGCAAGAGGTTCAGGAGAAACTGAAAGAAGCCCAGGAATATAGCCGAATTCAGGAGGAACTAGAGAGAGAGAGAGCCAGGTAGGCTAGACACAGAGGTGGCTTTTGCCTTTCTGACTGCAAGGGTTATGTGGCAATAATCTGACAGTTCTTTTCTCTGGTCACATCCTCTTTCATGTCTAGCTCTGGTATATATATGCAGCCATATAGAGAAGGATGTGTTCCTGCCCTCAAAGCTGAAATTTCATTCATTTAGTAAATACTTGGAGACACTGTGCCAGAATTGGGGACACAGTGATAAACAGGATAATGTGGTCCCTGCCTCAGTAGAACTTACAGTTTTGTGGGGAAGACTTTAATCAAGTAATTATTATAGACTATGATACTTAGTGTGGAGAAAGAAACAGTGTGAAATGGAAATAAGAACAGAGATCTGCTTTGGAAAGGTGTTTGGGAAAGACTTTCTCAGACAGTTGTGTTTAAACTAGCACTGAAGGTTGAGTTGGAGTCACCCACACAAAGGAGTGAAGGAGAATTCTAAACAGTAAAATCAGAAATCCTGTTCAAAGGCCCTGAGATGAAGTGTGGAACATGGTAAATGAGGAGAGCTAGACAAAACCATCTCATTCAGGATATTGTAGGCAATGGCAAAGGGTTTATGGATTTTTGTTTTTGTTTTGTTTTTTGGTGCTGGTGCTGGGGCTTGAACTAAGTGCCTGTGTGTGGTCCCTGAGCTTTTGGTGGTAGTGGTGGTCATAGGGCTTGAACTCAGGACTTGGGCACTATACCTGAGCTTTTTGCTCAAAGCTAGCACTCTACCACTTTGAGCCACAGCTTCACTAACAGGTTTTAGGTGATTTATTGGTGATAATAGTCTTCCTGCTGGCTTGAACCACAACCTTTAGATCTCAGCCTACTGACTGGCATTACAGGCATGAGCTATCAGTGCCCAGCTCCTGAACTTCATTTTGCTCAAGGCTAATGCTCTACCATTTGAGGCAGAGCTTCACTTCCAGCTTTATTTTTGGGAAGAGGTCAATTCATTAAAAATTAGAGTCTCACAGGCTTTTCTATCTGGGCTGCCTTTGAACCATGATCCTCAGGCCTCAGCCTCCTGGGTAACTAGGATTACAGGTATGAACTACCTGTAATTATTGTTTAGTAGAAAAATGCTGGAGAATTTCAAACAGGAAAATGAATACTATCCAATTTATGATGTATTACAAGGGTTTAGTAATGGTATGAAACATCAGGAGTAACATAAGATCATTCAGAATGGAAAGCAACATGCATTTTCAGTGTTACCAGAGTTTGAAAAGGGACAGATCATTTTGGTAGTAACACTAAAGGCAGAAAGAACATCTGGAAACCAGTACAAATGCCCAGAAGAGATACTGAGTTTAATCCTGGGTAGGTAATAGGGAAGAGGAGGATGGAAAGAGTCTAAGAGATGTCCAGAGAATTAATTATGTGTAGTGATGGGTTAGATATGGGTAGGATGAAGGAGAACTCTGAAGAGGTCAAGGTTTCTATGTTGTGATCCTGTGATAAAGAGAGGCTAGAGAGAATAGTAGGAGATGATTAGGTTAGAGTTGAAGGTTCAGAAGGCATGGGAAGATTGGACATACCAAATTTGATACATGTGAAATTTAGTAGAGAAGGATAGGTAAGTTGAAATGAGGTAATTACCTAGGAGCACTTAGTAGGTATTCAATAAATGGTACCTTTTATGGTGACACTGAAATTGCTATTACTATTTCTATTTTAATAGTGCTATGAATTAGAATAGACCAATTCTTACTCCTAGAGAGAATGACATACCCTCTGACTCCTTTATTTTTAGCTTGACTCTGTCACTGGTGGAAAAGGAACAGAGACTCATTGTTTTACAAGAAACTGACAGTGTTCGACAGCAAGAGCTGAACTCCTTGCACCAGGCCACGCAGGAGGCCCAGAAAGGGCAGAAAGAGCTCAGTATGCAGGTACGTTCCTCTATGGCTATACACCCTGCTTCTTGGTGGAGGACACATCTCTTTTTCCTAATGACAGGATAGGCTGGGCCTCAACAACCCTGTCAGAACAGCTGGGCAAGGTCAGGGTTAGGGAACACGACTCAGATGAGAATGGACCCTGTAGGGAACCTGACAGTCTGAACCAGTGTCCAGAGCAGCAGAGCCCAGGCAGGCCTAGGCCTTGTATAGTCACTTGCACATGTGCTTGGCCTTTTGGCAAAATATAGCAGTGAGGATTGAACAGTGAGAAATACTAGAAGTAGGTAATAGCAAGGTAACCTTCAGGGATTCATTCTTCCCACAGCTGTACCCTTGGAACTTGAGGGGAAGTGAGGGAGTAAAAGTGAGACAAGTTTCCTTTGAGACAGTCTGCATTTGCCTACTAGGGGTTTCAGAGCAGAGATCATAACAGGGAGTTGACAAATCTGTCTACTTGGGAAGCCAGAGCCTGAGCCCATTATTGTAGTCTGGGCCCAGCTGGTCATCTCTAGATGTCAGAGTGCTACTTATTCAGAGTCTTCCCTACCCATGAGAGAGCTCAGTCTTCTGAAACCTTTCTTGTTCTGGTCAGGCTCTGCATAGGGATTGAGTAGACTGATGCCTGGAAGAATATCTACTCCCTACTCAAAATGAGTTCACTTCCTCCCTGGCAGGTGGAATTGCTCAAGCAGGAGGTAAAGAAAAGGGAGGCCGACTTTGTGGCCCAGGAAGCACAGCTGCTGGAGGAGCTGGAGGCCTGTCGGATCACAGAGCAGCAGCTTCGAGCTTCCTTGTGGACCCAGGAAGCCAAGACAACTCAACTGCAGCTACGCCTGCACAGCACTGAGAGCCAGCTGGAGGCTCTGGCAGCAGAGCAGCAGCCTGTGAACCAGGCCCAGGCCCAGCTGGCCAGCCTCTACTCTGTCCTGCAAGAGGCCCTGGGATCTGTATATGAAAGCAGACCTGAACTAAGGGGAGGAGGGGACTCTGCTCCCCCACTCTGGGGCCCAGAGCCAGGTGAGGCCAACACCCTAAAACTTAAGTTCTTTGGGCCAAAACCAGGTATAATTCCCAGGGGAGAAGTGAGAGAAATGTAGATCCTTAAGCAATAGTGCATCAAGGTTAAGGCCACAGGCTCTGGGATTCATTCTACATGAGTTTGAACCCCATCTCTGCTGTTTGCTAGATGTGTGACCAAGGAAGAATCCTATAATTTCTCTGAGTTTGATTTTCCTCAACTGTAAAAGGAGAATGTTCAAAGTATTTACATACCTTAGTATTTTTCCAAGGAGCTAGTAGCTATAAGTAGCTCCTGCAATTCCTTTCATGTAAATGAAACACTAGCTAACATTATATAGTTCCCACCACAGTGTCTGACATGTATGTAAATGAATTGCCAAGAAAGCATTCTTTGAGGACAGTAGAGGCCTGTAGGAAGGCTATCTCTCCCTGTTGGGGAAGAGATAACTGTTTCTTTACATAATGGCAGCTAGGTGAGAAGATTTTCATTTCTTCAGACCAGAATGGAGCTAGGAACCTTTTTAAGAGAGGACCCCTCCTGACTGCTTTCTCAGCTGAGGCCGTGGCATCTGCCCTCCACAAGCTTCACCAAGACCTGTGCAAGACTCAGCAGGCCCGGGTAGGTTCTCTGTCCTCTTTCCAAGAACTCTTAACTCTGCTGAAAGTCTGAGACACACTATGCAGTTTGGAATATGCAGTTTGAGATTCAGTTTGGGATGACTGCCCTGTCTATTACTTACTGCCTGGCAACTGGGACCAAAGCAGTTGGATCTCCTGGGCCTTGTTTTCAACTGCAAAGTAGGGCAGATAAGGCCTACCTCCCAGGATCATTGTGAGGATTAGGTGACTAACTGCAAGACCTGAATACACATGTCATTTTTTTTGTTTTGCATCATTTTCTCTCAGCCATGAATTTAATTTTGGTACCCAGGCTTCCAAGAGAAGCGTGGGAGGTTGGAGACCACTAAGATTTGAGGTTGCTGCTTATAAACTCATTCTAGGCATAAAACTGAACTAAAGGTCCCACAAATTTCACCTTCAGTGCCACTCATACACCAGCCACTCTGAGCAGGTGATACAAAGAGACCTGATCTCTTCTATCCTTAAGAGGGCTGTTGGTTGAGAGACCAAACTTTATTCTGATAGAAAACATAACTGATGAGAGTAATTGGCTTCTTCACAGTCGTGAATAATACAGTGTTGGAAGTAGGAGAGAGAAACAACTTCTCCTAGTAGCTTGGAGAGGTCTAGAAAGAAAAGGTAAAAAGGTGACTTTGGGCTGACAAATTTTAAGGTAGGCATTTGGGAGGGAAGAAATGCACCCTATGAACAGTTCTGTTTCAAAAAACTTAGACAATAGGTCAGAGAGTCTTTCTGATTCAAATCAATTAGAACAAAACTCATCTTTATATCAGGGAACTAAACACATGTAAGTTCAGATTTTTTTTTTGGTTGTTTAAACAAACAAAAATCCTCAAGGAGCTGAGACTGGGGTTATAATGGCAGACCACCTCAGAACCTACGAGTGAAAACAGAGCTTGAGCCCAGACTGGGATAGATTTGTACGGATGAGGAGCTCAAGTTCAATCCTTCCCTTCCTTTCCCAGGATAATCTGAGTGACCAGGTCCAGAAGTTGGCCCAGAGTCTAACTAGCGTTGAGGCCGAGAAGAACCAGATCCAGTCAGAGTTAAAGGACCTGCAGAAACAACTCTTCCAGAACCAGGAAGGTGAGGCATGCAGGTGGGCAGATGTGAAGGAGGACAGATAGGAAGACTTGACGTGGCAGGAATTAGCTTAGCAGCACTCTATATTGTTTACCCACAACTGTGAGATGATGTCTAATTCATCTGCAAAAGGCAATGAGTCCCTTGACTGTTGTTCTGCTTTGTGAGCCACCTTGGGAAGGGATTAGAAGGGAAAGATTTGGCATACCGAGACTTCAGTGTTCTGTCTTCAGTTTTTTAATATAATTTTTTATTACTTTTTTTTGGTTGGTTGTGGGGCTTGAACTCAGGGCCTGGGCACTGTCCTGAGCCTCTTTTTTTTCCAGACTAGCACTACCACTGAAGCCACTACTTCTGGTTTTTGAATGGTTAATTGAAGATAAGAGTCTCACGGGGACTTTTCTACCTGGGCTGGCTTGGAACTGCAATCCTTAGATTTCAGCCTCTTGAGTAGCTAGGCTTATATGCATGAGCCACCAGTACCCAGCTATGTGGTACTGAGGTTTTTATATGGTACTGAAGAATTGAACCCGGACCTCATAAATGCTAGGCAAGCACTCAGCCACTAAGCCACATTCCCAGTTGCATTCATAGAAATTTTAAAACAAAACAAAAAAAAACTAGAAATGTAAGAGTTGATGAAAGGAGACCTCCATGCATTTTGAGAAGAAGAGAGTTTATTGGGAGAACCAGCTTACCAGCTTGTAGCAGATGTATGTGTGCAGAGAGAGAACTAATGATTATATAGGGGAGGGAAGAAGAAAGTGTGATTGCAGCATATGAGGAAGTGACCTCAGAGGATGAGGAAGTGACCTCAGAGCCTAGGGGACCTCCTACTGCCCCCAGGTATGCCAGTTACCTGGGTTACAGGTGCTGGATGGGGTCTTTGTAGAGAGGGCCACATGGAGTCCTACATGGAGAGAGAATGGGCCATTTTCCTGGGCAGACCTAACATTCCAGCCTTTTGATAAAGAAATGATGACTCTCTCTGGCCTACTTCCTGCTGACAAGGGGCATCAACATTAGGAGTAGAAGGTGGAGATGTCTTCCAATCCAGGATATGGCAGCAGTAACAGTTCCTTGGTGGTGAACACATTCGCTTGATAAAGTCTGAAAGACATCTTACAAGGCAGGGGCTGAACAGTAAGAAAAACAGCCAGGCACCAGTGGCTCATGGGCCTATAATCCTAGTTACTCAAGAGGCTGAGATATAAGGACCACAGTTCAAGACAGCCTGGGCAGAAAAATCTGTGAGACACTTATCTCCAATAAACTACTCAGAAAAAGCCAGAAGTGGTGCTATGACTCAAGTGGTAGAGCACTAGCCTTGAGCACAAAGAGGCTCAGGACAGAGCACAGACCTTGAGTTCAAGCCCCAGGACTGGCAAAAAAAAAAAGAAGAAGAAGAAAGAACATATTAGATGGCCTACAAATGGCAGAAGGGCAGAAAAGAAAAACTTGGATGACTTGGCCAGTTCCTGTCTCCTGCATTCCAGGCAGTCCTGGAGTTGGTGGATCATATCCCTAACTGCTTCTGACTGATTAACATCTGGTGACTGGGTAGGGGAGAGCATGGTGGACCGGTTAAGAATAACCAGTCAGCAGCTGGGGCTGGATTTGAGTGGATAAGGGACCAGTAGGAGGCCTTGATCATTGCCTGTAATGGGACTATAGATGTCTGGATTATAGAGTATGAATGGGAAACCTAGGATGGTGCCAAGGCAAACTGTCCTGAGTCAAAGACTCACTATAAATAGAAATAGCAGGTAACAGAGGCAAGAATGTAAGTTCCTGTCCAGTTAGAAGACAGGTTCGAGCATTAGATAAGCATGTTTATTAACTATTTTTTTGACCTCCCAGTTCTGGTTAGTTTTGAAAGGGCAAGCACAAAATTACACCATCCCCTTATCTGTACAGTTCTTTGCAACTGCCTCTGAATGATTTACTCCTCTCTATGATCCTTCCTTGCCAGGACTAGCTTTGTCCCATCCCTCTTGCTGGGATGATGTCGTACTTGGTGTTTTTGCCCATTGCTGGGATGGTATGTCCCAGTTAGTGTTTTTGCTCTGCTATTTCTATTTATAGTGAGTCTTGGACTCAGGACAGTTTGCCTTAGCACCTTCCTTCAACAGTTTGGGTTCGAGGAAGCATATTGACTCTTGGAAAGATAGAGAAGTGGAGGGGATGGGCTGGGAAGGTGGCTCAGTGGTAGAGCGCTTGCCTTGCATGCCTGAGGCCCTGGGTTCGATTCCCCAGCACCACATAAGCAAAAAGAAAAAAAGCTGGAAGTGGTGCTGTGGCTCAAGTGGTAGAGCGCTAGCCTTGAGCTGAAGAGCTGAGGGACAGCGCCCAGGCCCAGAGTTCAGGCCTCACGACCGGACCCACAAAAAAAAAAAAAAAGGAAGAAGAAGTGGATGGGATCCAGCAACTCCCAGGTTTCAGCACCAGATATAAGGGTTAGTGAAAAGAGACCTCTCATGATTCAGGCAGAAGAGAGTTTATTGGGAGAATCAAAATGTCAGCCTGAGCCAGATGGAGATGTGCAAAGAGAGGACAAATGGCAGAAAGAGATTATATAGGGGAGGGCAAGGAGGCATGACCGCAGTGTATGAGGAAGTGACCTCAGAGCCTGGGGATCTCCCCCTACCCCCAGGTGCACCAGTTACCTGGGCTACAGGTGCTGGGTGGGGATTTCTTGGTAGGGTCACATGGGATCCTGTACAGAGAGGGAAGGGACCATTTTCCCAGGTGGGCCTAACAAGAAGCACTAGAAAATAGCCTGAACTACAGAATGAGCCAAGGTTAACTTGGGGCGCATAACAAGACCCATCTCAAAAGCCAAAACAAGCAAATAACGCCCCCCCCCACCAAATGGAGAATTTTGTTTTGCCATTTATCTATATTCTTTTGTGGGAGTACTAGGAATTGAACTCAACCTCACAGACACTCTACCAACCACTTGGACCACACAACCAGCCCCACTTTTTTAAAAAAATTTTTTGGTTGGTTATGGTACTTGAACTCAGTACCTGGTCACTGTCCCTTAGCTCTTTTGCTCAAGGCTAGTGCTCTACCACTTTGAGCCGCAGCTCTACTTCCAGTTTTCTGGTTGGAGATAAGAATCTCACAGACTTTCCTACCCAGGCTGGCTTTGAATTGCAATCCAGATCTCAGTCTCCTAAGTAGCTAGGATTACAGATGTGAGCCACCCGAGCTCAGCTCCCACTTATTTTTATTATTTGTAATTATGCTATTAAAATAACTTTAGAGGGTAAAATGATCATAGGCTTATTTGGGAGAAAGCAAGGAGATGGAATCTGGGGACAGCATATCTCTACCCTAGCCTAGGACTAGGGGGGTGATGACTATTTGGAAACGAGAGGAGGGGGAAGGTTCTTGAGGCTCAAGTTTCTATTGTAGAAGAGAATAAGGCATTTGGGGGTGAGGGAGGTGCTGGGCCTTTTGAGGACAATTTTGATGGCTTCTCAAGATCCACACACAGAGCTACCTTTTAGAGCATGTTGCAGAAATGAGCGGCAGGCAGCAGAGCCACCAGCTCTCAAGGAACCTCTTACAAATTCACGTAATTGGGGGCTGGAAGGCACCTCTGTTACCAGCTAACTCTACTCTGCCTGGAGTTTAAGATTGAGGATCTTTGTAATAAGGAGGGAAAAGTGTTAGGATGATTACTAGGATTGGCCTGTGAACACAGCAGGGAAGCTAGACCACAGGAGCAGCTGGCAGATGAGTGAAGTCTTAGGACACTGGATGTAATTCTCTCCCTCCTGGCCTCCTTCCCATTTGCTTCTGTGCTCTATCCTCCATCTGCCTCTTCTACCCTGTGTTCTCACACTCCCAACCATGGCCTTGACTCCACTACCTCTGCTCTTCCCAAAGAGAAATCCAAGTGGGAAGGAAAACAAAACTGTCTGGAATCTGAGCTGAAGGACCTGCATGAGACTGTGGCATCCTTACAGAGTCGCCTACGGCAGGCAGAGCTGCAAAGAATGGATGCTCAGGTGAAGTGATACTGGTGTTGTGGGAGGGGTGCCTCAAGGTTTCTACCTTAAGGCCCAAGACTTGACCTCTCAGGCTTAATCTTGGCCTGTGGCTTTATGCTCAGCTTCCTTCAGCAATTCTCAGTTCCTCCGGCTGTCCAAATGTCCCTGAAGACCAGTATTAAGCTCCTAATAATTCCTTCAATTACTTTTTTCTGAAATGTGGATGAGATTTTTATCTCAATGAGATGACTCATTCACAGTAGACCCTTTCTCCTGGGAATAGCAGAGCCATACTTGTGTGGTACAGATGCTCATTTACAGGATCAGCAAAAATGGAATGCATCACTTACTTTGCCCAAGGTACCGCTGAGACCACAGAATAAGGCAAGTGCTAGAGTGTATTGTAGTATCAGGGACGTATCCCAATCTAAGGTAGTTTTGCCCCTTGTTTTCCAGAGTGAGCAAGATTTACTTCGGGCAGCGAAGGAGAACCTGATGGCCCAAGTGGACCGCCTGCAAGCATGTGTTGCAGAAGCCAGGGCCCAAGCAAATGTGGCTGAGATTCTGGAAGAAGACCTGCGAACAGCTCGCTCAGCACTGAAACTGAAAAACGAAGAGGTAGAGAGTGAACGGGAAAGAGCTCAGGCTTTGCAAGAGCAGGGAGAGCTGAAGATGGCTCAGGGCAAGGCTTTGCAGGAGAATCTGGCTCTACTGGCCCAGACCCTGTCTGAAAGAGAAGGAGAGGTGGAGACTTTGCAGGGAAAAATCCAGGAACTGGAGAAACAGCGGGAAATGCAGAAGGCTGCTCTGGAACTGCTGTCTCTGGACCTGAAGAAGAGGAATCAAGAGGTGGATCTGCAACAAGAACAGATTCAGGAGCTGGAGAAGTGTAGATCTGTCTTAGAACACCTACCTATGGCTGTGCAGGAGCGAGAGCAGAAGCTGACTGTGCAGAGAGAACAGATCAAAGAGCTTGAGAAGGACCGAGAGACCCAGCAAAATGTCTTGGAGAATCAGCTTCTGGAACTGGAGAAGAAGACCCAAGTGATTGAGTCCCAGAGAGGACAGATTCAGGATCTAAAAAAGCAGTTAGTAACTCTGGAACACCTGGCCATGGAAGTGGAAGAAAGCCATCACAAAGTGGAGAGCCTACAGAAGATGATTGAGGAGCTGGAGGGGCAGAGGGAAATGCAGAGGGTGGCCCTGACTCACCTCACACTAGACCTGGAAGAAAGGAGCCAGGAGCTGCAAGTGAAAAGCAGCCAGCTCCATGAGCAGGAGAGCCACAGCACCCTTCTGGCAAGAAAGCTTCAGGACAGGGACCAGGAGGTAAAGTCCCAGCGCCTACAGATTGAGGATCTGCAAAGGCAGAAGGAACATCTGACTCAGGACCTAGTGCAGAGAGGCCAGGAGTTGATACTGCAGAAGGAAAGGATTCAGGTTCTGGAAGATCAGAGGACACTGCAGACCAAGATCTTAGAGGAGGACCTGGAACAGATCAAACTGTCCTTGAGAGAACATGGCCGAGAGATGGCCTCTCAGAGACCCTCAGTACAGGAACGGGTAGAGGAAGCAAAGAGTCCTAGTAAAGCACAGCGCGGGAGTCTAGAGCACATGAAGCTGATCCTGCGTGAGAAGGAAAAGGAGGTAGAATGCCAGCAGGAGCACATCCAGGAACTTCGAGAGCACAAGGAGCAGCTGGAACAGCAGCTCCAGGGCCTGCATAGGAAGGTAGGTGAGTCCAACCTGCTACTGACCCAGCAGGAACAAGAGATAGTGATCCTACAGCGGCACCTGCAGGAAGCAAAGGAACAAGGGGAACTAAAAGAGCAATCACTTCAATGTCAGCTGGAAGAGGCCCAGAGAGCCCTGACCCAAAGGGACCAGGAACTTGAAGCCCTAGAAAGAGAACAGCAACAGGCACAGACCCGAGAGGAGAGTCTGAAGGAAAAGGAAAGTGCACTCCAGGCAGCTCTGGATGAGGCCCACAGGACCCTGAGGGAGCACCAAGGAGAGCTGGAGGAGCAGAGAGAGCAGGTACGAAGACTCCAGGAAGAGCTGGCAGTGGAAGGACGGCAGGTGCAGGCCCTGCAGGAGGTATTGGGAGATCTGAGGGCCGAGTCTCGGGAACAGGAAAAGGCTCTACTGGCCCTTCAGCAACAGTGTGCAGAGCAGGTGCAGGAGCATGAGGCCAAAGCCAGAGCCTTGCAGGACAGCTGCCTCCAAGCAGAAGCCACACTCAAGGAACGGGACCAGGAGCTAGAGGCTCTGCAGGCAGAAAACCAGACCTTTAGGCAGCAGGAGAAGGCTGCATGGGGTCAGGCAGAGGCTCTGCAGAAGGCCCTCAGCAAAGCCCACACCTCCCTCCAGGAGAAGGAACAGAGTCTCCTTGAGCAGGCCAAATTGAGCCACAGTCTAGAGGCCAGCAGTACTACCCTGAGAACCACCCTGGATGCCTGCCAGGCACATGCCCGACAGCTGGAGGAGGCCCTAAGGATTCGAGAAGGTGAGATTCAAGACCAGGATCTCAGACATCAAGAGGACATGCAGCAGCTCCAGCAGGCACTTGCCCAGAGGGATAAAGAGCTGAGGCAGCAAAAGGAACAGGGACAGCTTCTGGAGAAGTCTCTGGCCCAGAGGACTCAAGAGAAGCAGAGTCAGGAGCAAGAAAGAAAAGAGACCAGGGGTCTTCGTGAGAGTCTAAGGGAGCTACAGCTGATTCTAGCCCAAAAGGAAGAGGAAATCCTGGAGCTGAGAGGGACCCAGCAACAGAAAAACATAGAGGCCTTTTCCCCCAGCTCCAAAGCCTCCCCAGGGGAGGAACCATCCTCAAAACTAGATTCTTTAGGGCCCAAGCTGCAGCGGGAGTTGGAGCGACTACAGGTAGCCCTGAGACAGACAGAAGCCAGGGAGATTGAGTGGAGAGAGAAGGCTCGGGACTTGGCACTGTCCTTAGCTCAGAGCAAAGCCAGTGTCAGCAGTCTGCAAGAAGTAACCATGTTCCTACAAGCTTCTGTCCTGGAGCAGGAATCGGAACAGCAAAGACTGCAGGTGAGTCACTCCAGGGGGAGTAAGGACCAAGGACAGAGACTATCTGGCTAAGCTCAGGGGCTGTCTGCCACCTTGGGACTTAAGGCACCTTAGAAGTAAGCATACCAGGGTTGGGAAGGTGGCTCAGTAGTAGAGTACTTGCCTTGCATTCATGAGGCCTTTGGTTTGATTCCTCAGCACCACATAAGCACAAAAAGCCAGAAGTGGCACTGTGGCTCAAGTGGTAGAGCACTGTCCTTGAGCTGAAGAGCTGAGGGACAATAACCAGGCCCAGAGTTCAGGCCCCAGGACTGGCAAAAAAAAAAAAAAAGGAAAAAAAGTGAGCATATCTCCACAAGAAGAAGGCACTCATCAGTGAAATTCCTTGTCTATTTCCATCCTCATAGACACGGCAAAAAAAGAAAAAACAGCATGTAGCTGGGGAGGAAGGCATTTCCTAGCCATGCTCATGAGTTACTGCACAGTGTTCCCTCACTGATATAACTGGAGTAGGGCATTTCACCCACTCTTCCTCAAATACTCAAAGGCATCTTTTAGGTACAACTCTTCATCCTTTAAAGCATTTTACATGCCAGCCCCACTTTCCCTTTCTTTCACTGTCCTGGAAAAAAAGGAACTGACACTACTCATTTTATAGTTGAGATATGGCAATCAGAGGTTAACTTGTTTCAAGTCATAGCTGGTAACTGGCCAAAGTAGATTGGATCTAACAGTCTGATTCAAACTCAAGCTCTTGCCAGGCACTGGTGGCTCACGCCTATAATCCTAGCTACTCAGGAGGCTGAGATCTGAAGATCACGGTTCAAAGCCAGCCCAGTCCATGAGAATCTCATCTCCAGTAAACCACCAGAAAACCGAAAGTGGCGCCATGGCTCAAGTGATAGAGTGCTCGCCTTGAGCCAATGAGCTGAGGGACAGCACCCAGGCCCATGACCGTCCCCCCCCCCAAAAAAAAAAAAAAAAACCTCAAGCTCTTCCTTTCACACACTGCCACACCCACACTCCTTTCCTCTGTTCTGACCTCTTTCTTGACTGTTACTGTTTATAAAACATAGGGTGCCTAAAAATGAGTTACATTTCCCCATTCATCCAAAGAAATTTAACCTCATATTTTTTGGAACTTGTAGTCACTTGTAAAGGGGAAATTTGGAGTTTGGAGCAAACTCATTTTTTGACCCGAGTCATTTAGTTAATAAGTGGTAATGTTGCATCCCGCTCTGCATGACTCAAGTCTTTGCTTTCCGTAACATGTCAATGTCCCAGGTCATCACCTGGCTTTATTGTGATCCAAGACGAGATGGGAGTTCTGAACCTAGTTCACTTGAATGCTCACCCTGAAATCTTAGGAATATTCCTCGTTTCATTCATCTGGAAAATGAAGATTCTAGAATAGCTAAGAGGTTCCAGGAATTCTAAGTCTACTCTCTGTAAGGAAATGGAATTTGTTTTTATGAGGATGGAGAGAGCAGAGGAAGATCTGACTAAAAAACTGGCAAGGTGTGATTTTTGTCCCTTACCTCCATATTCCAGGAGGAGCTGGCACTCACCAGACAGACTCTAGAGAAGGAGCGGCTACACAGCCCCTGCTCAGCCTACCCAGCAGAGCAGGAGCCCCGAGCAGAACAGGGAGTACAGCCTGAAGAGGTGAGCTGTTGGGAACTCCTAACAGAGCATTCCTGTCAAGGCTTTTTCTCCTCCTTGGGGGTTGGATCCCTGATGCCCAACCTGGCATACTGTTTCTTTTGCTCTCCATTTGATCCCCGTAGCTGCATGTTGGGCTGTCCAGGTGAGATTCACAAGTCTTCTCCACAGGTCTTAGGAGCAGAGGCTGAGCCTAGTCCTTGTATGGAGGAGAAGCAGTCATGGAAACAAAGGCTTGAGCATCTACAGCAAGCGGTGGCACGGCTAGAGATTGACCGAAGTAGGTTACAGCGCCACAATGTCCAGCTGCGGATCACCTTGGAGCAGGTCGGTAATGTCTGCTGTCTTCAGTGAGTATGTATGTCTACTCACATCCCAACCTGTAGGACAAACCCACCTATTTCTTAAATACAATTTTAGGGCTGGGCAGGTGGCTTAGTGTTAGCCTAGCATGCTTGAAGTCGACACCTTAGCACCACATAAACAGAAAAAGCTGGAAGTGGTACTGTGGCTCAAAGTGGTAGAGTACTAGCCTTGAGCAAAAAGAAGCTCAGGGACAGTGCTCAGGCCCTGAGTTCAAGCCCCAGAACTGGCAAAAAAAAAAAAAAAAAGTTAAAATGCGATTTTATTGGATCACAACCATATGTTGTCTGTGGCAGTTTGCCCATGGAGATGGTCAGTTGTGAATGGCCCACAAAACCTGAGATACTTGTTACAGAAAATGTTTGCTTACCTTTTCTCTAAGAGCCTGAGATATGGCTTACCTCCTCTGCCCCAGGAACATGTCTTTGCTCTCCCCAGCCTAGGAGTCTTGAACCCTATTGCTATCCCTTTATACTCACCACTGTACATGCACTGGCTCCAAGCCAAGATCTGATTTCTCACTTGCATGTGGGCAGGTGGAGCGAGAGCGGAGGAAGCTGAAGAGGGATTCCATGCGCACATCCCGAGCTGGGTCCCAGGAGATCAGTGAAGCCATGGCCTCTTCACCCATACAACAGGTTTATCTCTTTTCCCATCTGCACCCCTAGCTATCAGAAACTCAACCCTCTCTAGTGCATGTTCCGAGCGACCCTCCAATGTAGAAACAGCCATTGTAGCCACTCCTGATTGGATTCCACAAGTCTGTCCTAGCCCTGAGAAAGGAGGCCCAAGATGAGTTGGTGGGTGAAGGCTAGTAGCCCTGCATCCACAGGAATTTGTATCTGTACATCCTCAGGCATGCATCTCTGGCTCACCTGGGAAATAACAGAGGAGTCCTTGGGAGCATGAGAAGGGAGCTAGGCAGAATCTTGGGCATAGGATTATTGATCTCCGCTTTGGAGATTTCATAGATGTCTTTATAGAACTAAGTTTATAAGATGTAGGTCTATGTCATTTCAGGGAACAGCATCCCTTTTTCTCATCAAGAGGTTTGAGACTTCCTTAAAACCTCACAAACCTCACTAAGCTGAGGTTTGCCCTTCAAACCTCAACAGGCGGGCTGGGAAGGTGGCTCAGTGGTAGGGCGCTTGCCTTGCATGCCTGAGGCCCTGGGTTCGATTCCTCAGCACCACATAAGCAAAAAGAAAAAAGCCAGAAGTGGCGCTGTGGCTCAAGTGGTAGAGCACTAGCCTTGAGCTGAAGAGCTGAGGGACAGTGCCCAGGCCCAGAGTTCAGGCCCCACAACTGGACCCCCAAAAAAAAAGAAATGTACTCATTTCCTGGGGCTGGGAAGGTGGCTCAGTGGTAGAGCGCTTGCCTTGCATGCTCGAGGCCTGGGTTCGATTCCTCAGCACCACATAAGCAAAAAGAAAAAAGCTGGAAGTGGCGCTGTGGCTCAAGTGGTAGAGTACTAGCCTTGAGCTGAAGAGCTTAGGGACAGTGCTCAAGCCCAGAGTTCAGGCCATGACCGGACCCAAAAAAAAAAACAAAAAAAACCTCAACAGGCTTGGCCTGTTGAAGAGGGACTGGCAGAGAGGGACTATTTCTGATGATTATATGTCTCTAGCTCCCCAGCTCTCTTATAGAGAAAGCTTCCCAAGGGCAGGCACCTTATCTTTTTTCACCCTGGCATCCTCACCTCACATCCCAGGCTTGGTACAAAGCAAATGCATGGTATATTTCCATTAAATAAAATAAGTTCTTGGGCTGGGCATGCGGCCTAGTGGTAGAGTGCTTGCCTAGCTTGCATGAAGCCCTGGGTTCAATTCCTCAGTATCACATAAACAGAAAGGCCAGAAGTGGCTGAAGTGGTAGAGTGCTAGCTTTGAGCAAAAAGAAGCTCAGGGACAGTGCTCAGGGCCTGAGTTCAAGACCGAGGACTGGCAAAAAACAAACAACACAAAAGGACCTCACAGAAGCAAATACCACTCAAGCTTTTTGGACATTTAGCATCAAGTCCCCCATGGCAGTGCCCATTATACTGCTGTGGGCCCTCTTGTCTCCTTCCCCCAGGCTATGCCCTGTAGAGGTTTAGTCTTGAGTTCAGGTACTTCTAGGCCATAGCCCATGCCCAGCCCATTGCAACAAGACAGATGTTTGTCTTCCTCAGGATGGTAAAGAAGTACAGAGGGTATCTTCAGATGCCAAGCATGTGATTGAACTGCAGAAAGAGGTAGGTGTTGGAAGGATCCACCTTCTAAGCCTCTTTTCTCTCCCTTACATGTAGGCAGTAAGGGTTTAGTATCTATTGTGTGTTAGGCCCTTTGTGCGTCACTGGCAAGAAGAGGGGCTATAGCTCCTGCCTTTAGAGAAATTTGTCTTCAATGGATACAAGAAAGACTCCAGTGCCAACTTCACCTGGCATATACTTTGTATGGGAAGGGGACAGAGTCACAGAAAGCATAAGGAAAAAGGAAGGAGCTGAGGGGAACACAGAAGTATAGAACCAGGGGCTGGGAAGGTAGCTCAGTGGTAGAGTGCTTGCCTTGCATACATGAGGCCCTGGGTTCGATTCCTCAGCACCACATAAGCAGAAAAAAAAAGAAAAAAAAGCTGGAAGTGGCGCTGTGGCTCAAGTGGTAGAGTGCTAGCCTTGAGCTGAATTGCTGAGGGATAGCACTCAGGCCCAGAGTTCAGGCCCTACGACCGGAACCAAAAAAATAAAAGAAGAAGAAGAAGCATAGAACTGGCTAGAGCAAGCAGTTTGGTGATAGCCTCTGCCCTCAGCCGTGCCCTGGAGGCACAACTGTCACCAGCAGAACAGGAACAGGCTGGGATAGCTCTACCAGCCTTGGGGAAGCTATGCCTACTTGTCTCATAAGGCTCACATATCTCTCTTCAAAGACCGAGAGTAATAAGTGTGGGATTTTGATTTGTTTTTATTTTGTTCTTTTGAGACAAGCACAGATTAACCTCAGTTCTCTATCCTCCTGCCTCTGTCTCCTGAATGTTGGGATGACAGGGGAATTTTTATTTCTAGCCCTCTTTCAATAATCAGTCACAGGGCTGGGAATGTGGCCTAGTGGTAGACTGCTTACCTAGCATACGTGAAGCCTTGGGTTTGATTCCTCAGTACCACATAAACAGAAAAAGCTGGAAGTGATTCTCAACCCTGGCTGTACATTTGATCTATGTGGGAAGCTTTGAAAAAGTACTAATATCAGGCCTTACCTCAATCTAATTGAGTTGGATTATTTTCTAAAATATTCCAAAAGGAGAATGATAAGATTTTCTACAGAGATTAAAATAATCTGTATCAAACCAGGCACTGATGGCTCATGATTGTAATCCTAGCTACTCAGGAGGCTGAGATCTGAGGATCTCTGTTCAAAGTACAGGCAGGAAAGTCCATGGGACTGTTATTTTCAATAAATTTCCAAAAAGTTAAAAGTAGAGCTGTGGTCCAAGCATAGAGTTGTGGTGCCGGCTGCTGGAAGCTCATGCCTGTAATCCTAGCTACTCAGGAGGCTGAGATCTGAGGATCGCGTTTGAAAGCCAGCTCAGGCAGGAAAGTCCATGAGACTCTTAGCTCCAATAAAAACCACTCAGAAAACCAGAAGTGGTGCTGTGACTGAAGTGGTAGAGCACTCACTTTGATCTGAAGAGCTGAGGGACAGCACCCAGGCCCAGAGTTCAAGCCCCACAACCAACCAAAAAAAAAAAAAAATGTAGAGCTGTGGCTTAAGTGCTAGTGCTAGCCTTGAGCAAAAATGCTCAGGGACAGTGCCCGGACCCTGAATTTAAGCCCAGGACTGGCACATGCATGCGTGTGCACACACGCATGCGTGCACGCACACACACACAGCTCTGAATCTTGGTTAGGATAGTACATCCATCAAAATATACATATATCATCAAATTGTATACTTAAAAACCTAGACACATGGACTGGGAATGTGGCTTAGTGGTATAGTGCTTACCTAGCATGCACAACCCCTTGGGTTTGATTCCTCAGTACCATATAAACAGAAAAAGCTGGAAGTGGTGCTGTGGCTCAAGTGGTAGAGTGCTAGCCTTGAACAAAAGAAGCTCAGGCCCTGAGTTCAAGTCCCAGGATTGGCATCAAAACAAAACAAAACAAAAAAACCTGGATACTTTATTACATGCATATTTTCCTGTAGCAAAGTTGATGAGCAGCTTTGTTGCTGTCTTAAGCTCTTGATTTATTGTACATGTGCAGCCAGTAGTGAGAATCACTATGTTCTCTCTTAGTTCATAGTGTACTTTCCCCCAAACACTCTAAAGCCTGATTTGGAGATCCATTATATGGTAGATGCATTCCAGTGGTGTACCAAGAGCCACATGAACACAGAGCAGAAGAATTGGGACTACTTCAGAGTCCTTAATTGCTGTCCTTGGTTTTCCTACCCATTAGGTGGCCCTGCTGCGGTCCCAGCTGGCCTTGGAACGGAAGCAGAGGCAGGATTACATCGCTCGCTCAGTGCAGACCAGTCGTGAACTAGCAGGCCTGCACCACAGCCTGTCCCACTCACTTCTCACTGTAGCCCAGGCCCCAGAGGCCACTGTCCTAGAGGCTGAGACCCGCAAGCTGGATGAGTCCCTAACTCAAAGTCTGACATCCCCCGGACCACCAGTCCTGCTACACCCCAGCCCCAGCACCTCCCAGGTCACCTCCAGGTAGCACCCACAGCCAGGGAAGGATACAGTCTAGCTTGGTGGCTTACACCCAGATGACTGTAAAATGGCTCATGGGCCCTTCGCACAGCTATAAGAAAGGATCTGGTATTGTTCCCCAACCCGGCTGCCATTCCTAGGAAGAGGATGGAAACCTGCAAGGCTGGAGAAGGCCCCAGCTCATATGGGAATGAGGCAAGTCACCTTTGCCTGCTAACATACAGTGCTTGGGGAGTGCTTTCTCCTGACCAACAAGACAGCCCTGCTTTCTTATCACCTGATGAACCTTCTAGAGTCCACACTAGGCCTGGAGGCTCCAGTGATACACACAGCCTGTGGATGGTATGTTGTGAACATTCTGTGTGTATCAAGTGCAGGGAGGTCCAGTTACCTCCTGTCTGGAATGTATTTTCCCAGCACTTCAACAATAAACCCTGGATCTGTGCATTCGTCCTTGGCTGCTATCTCTCTGTGTACCTGGACAGCAGAAGCTCTTCAGGGAAATTAAGGAAAATGTACAGATTCCTGTCAGGTTGCAGGAATTTCTGCCTGAGATGATGTAATTTGGAAAAGCCACTGACAGCCTGGAGGCCAATTGATTAAGACCAGATTAACACTCATAAGTGAATCAGAGAATTAGGTGCACTGGCTAGAAGAAATTTTAGGGACTGAGGAAAGGAGGCATTCTCCGGTGCTTGAAGGACGGGGGAAGCTGAGCTAAGCACACTGATGGGAAGATCGATCTGGTTGTGACACTGAATGGAGGCTGAGATTGGGAGAGGTAGATTATGGAGGCCCTTCAGTTCTAACTCCTAGACAATGAGAAACTACCAAATGATCTTGACTTAAAAGTTCTGGACCTTTCCAGGTGCTCGTGGCTCACACCCGTAATCTTAGCTATTCAGGAGGCTGAGATCTAAGGATCACAATTCAGAGCCAACTTGGGCAGGAAAGTATGTAAGACTCTTATCTCCAATTAACCACCATAAAACTGGAAGTGGTGCTGTGGCTCAAGTGGTACATGCTCACCTTGAGCTGAAGAGCTGAGGGACAGCACCAGCCCAGAGTTCAAGCCCCATGACCGACAAAAAGAAAATATGACGTTTGTCCTTAGCTGAAGTTAGATGGAGTTGAGTCTCCATCTGTCCTCATTCCCCTTGATACATGGTTGTGTACACAAATACCTTTATTGTGTGTATGTGCTGGTCCTACGGCTTGAACTCAGGACTTGGGCACTGTCCCTGAGCCTCTTTGTGCTCAAACTATCATTCTCCCATTTGCCACAGTGCCACTTCCAGCTTTTTTGAGGAGTTTATTGGAGATGAGAGTCTCACAGGAACTTTTCTGCCCAAGGTGGCTTTGAATTGTGATCCTCAGATCTCAGCCTTCTGCCACTGGCACCCAGCTCACAAAAACCTTTAAGTGTCTCTTCCTGGGTACATCAACTAGAATTGACTCTGGTACCCATATATTCAGCCAGTCAAGAAAATTGATTATGGCAGAACTTGTCATTTATACATGACCTGGTAGACACAGATTATACTGAACCCAGCTCTCAGGCCTAAGACCATTGTCAAAGCTGAAGAACAACTCCTCTTCTGCCTCCATTCTTTGTATGTTGGAGCAACAATCTTTGTACCATGCTCACCTGTACTCTCTGGTTTCCCATCCAAGATGTCCAGTATCTTGATCACCAAAAGCTATCTAGCATGAAGTGCATACTAGAGGAGAAGCTACCATTGTCTGTTGGGATGAGGCAGGTGGGATCATTCGATCACAGCCTAGTGTGAGGGCACAGTCCACTTTCCACTAAGAAATGAAGAGCATGGACTTCTAATCACTCACTCCTGAGTTCTAGCACCAAACTTGGAGGCCCCATTGATCGAGCAGAGAAAGTAGTCAAGGACAAGGTGCAGCTCAGCCCTAAACTGACCCTGCACCAGCCTCTAAAGGCAAGATGGCCTCCAGTTCTATCAAAGGTTCAGGGACTTTTGGAAGCTGACACCCCCTGCTGGTTGAAGCCGGTTTTGTAGCCAGGCCTACCAGGTTAAGGTGCCAGAGCCTCCACAGCACTTGGGCCAGCAGCAGGACTTCAAGAAGTTCCTGTGGAGCTGGTTGGATCTTAGCCTCAAAGGCGTCAAGGCAACCTCTCAGCTCAGCTCTGCTTGCAGGTGTCATCATGGCCCATGGGACAAGTCCCCTGCTTAGCTGAAGTCTGACTTGGGAAGAGAGAACACCTTCAGCTCTCACATCCTGCCTCTGACCCGCTACTCAGAAGAAAAGGGCAGAAAGAAACAGGAGCTTCCAGAGTGCTCCACAAAGTGAGCTCCCTGTGACTGAACATTGTGAAGGAGGGCAAGCTCAATTCTGCTTACTACACTTAAGACAGTGGCAAATGAAGAAGGACCACAACACAGACTCCCAAGGCCCTGGGATTTTATTCCCTCCACCTGCTGAGACCAGGGTTTGCCAGGACAGAGAGAGGTAAAGACTAGAGGTGAGGCTTCCCTGGACCGTGCTCCCGCCTCACTGTCCCCAATCTATTTAGTTACATCAGTAGACTATTTCCAGAGGGAGTCTTATGGCCTCTTCTTTTCCTTAGCCCTTTGCTATCAATGCCACTGGACTTTTAGATGCCTTCATAGGGACTGAAGCTTGCTCAGGCGGGAGGACTTGAGGTAAAATATTGAATGGCCCAGGAGTCAGGAGAAAGTGTGTATACAGCTGAGAAGGGTGTACCTGAGAATTCTTAGGAATCTCTTGCCACATAGAGACACTCCCAGGTAAGATGGGCTGTTGCTGCCCCTAATCCAGCTCCTCATTCTTTTGACAAAGCTCCACAATGAATACTGAAAAGGAAGAGCTTAGATCCAGGAGAAATAGAATCGGTACCCAGACAAGCACTGACACAACAGCCTACATGCCAACATTGGTGTTCCAATGAGGCCAGGAAAAGGGCCATGGAAGATTCTGGAGGAAGAGGAGATGGAGGGCCCTTCCCTAGTACTTGTCAAGAGCCAGTTAGAATCAGTCATGATAGCTCAAACCTATAATCCTAGCCACTTGGCAGACTAAGGGATAGTGCTTTGAGGCCAGTCCTGGCAAAGAATGTTTACAAGGTTTCATCTCAACCAGTGGCTGGGTGTGATGGCTCACACCTGTTAATTCTGTAGCACAAATGGAAGGATCACAGTCCAGGCCCAAGCATAAACTGAAAAACTCAAAAATAACACAAAAGGAGGAGGTGTTGGGGTTGCTCAATTGTTCTAGCAAGCATAAGGTCCTGAGTAAAAAGAAATAAAAAAGCTGGACTGGGGAGTTGGCTCAGTGGTAGAGTGCTTGCCTTGCATGCATGAGGCCCTGGGTTCAATTCCTCAGTACCACATAAGCACAAAAAGCTGGAAGTAGTGCTGTGTCTCAAGTGGTAGAGTGCTAGCCTTGAGCTAAAGAGCTGAGGGACAGTGCCCAGGCCCACAGTTCAGGCCCACAACTGGCCAAAAAAGAAAAAGAAAAAATCCAACTAAAAGAGTAGAGTCAAAAGATGAATCTATTGGTTCAGGAGCAATATCAGGCTGTCAAGGAGTATCAGCTAGCCCATTCAGTTTAGCGCTGATCCAAAAGTAGAATTCCCCACAAGTGAGCATCAAGACTTCCCAGGAACCTCAAAGCCCCCATTAAAACTACATTCTTGGGCCAGGCACTAGTGGCTCACACCTATAATCCTAGCTACTCAGGAGGCTGAGATCTGAGGATCGCAGTTCAAAGCCAGCCCGGGCACGAAAGACTCTTATCTCCAATAAACCACTCAGAAAACCAGAAGTGGTGCTGTGGCTCAAGTGGTAGAGTGCTAATCTTGAGCTGAAGAGCTGAGGGACAGCACCCAAGCCCAGAATTCAAGCCCCAGGACTGACAAAAAAAAAAAAACTATATTCTTGGCCAGGCATGAGCAGCTCACGCCTGCAATCCTAGATTCTCAGGAGACTGAGACTGGGAAGATTGCAATTTGAAGCAAGCAAGAAAAGTCTGCAAGATGTCATCTCCAGTTAAATGGCAAAATGCCAAGCTGGAGGAGGCATGGTTCAAGTGGTAGACTGCTAGCCATGATTAGAAAAGCTGAGCAAAAGTATGAAGCCTGGGTTCAAGCCCTGTGCCCTGGTACCAGCAAATGTACATACATACACATATACATAAAACCCTGCATTCTTGTTCTGTGCAGCAAGGCACATGGTTAGTGCAGGCTGAGGGTGACACTGGCAGTGGACATGTAGGGAACTCTGGTTACAAACTCCACCAGCATATCACTGCCCAGTTGACTTCCATCCCTCTCAACCTTCCAGCACCTTACTGCTTGGCTGTCCACCTGTTAGGTCCTAAAGGGTGCTCTACTGGAAGATTAGGGGAGGGAGAAGAAAGTGGCATTTGGTGGTGTGCTGTGGTCTGGGTTTTTTTTTGTTTTTTTTTGTTTTGTTTTGCTTTTTTTTTTGTCTAGTCATGGGGCTTGAACTCAGGGCCTGGGTACTTTCCCTGAACTTTTTGACTCAAGGCTAGTATGCTACCACTTGAGCCACAGCACCACTTCCAGGAGACAAGAGTCTCATGGACTTCCCTGCCAGGGCTGGTTTTAAACAATGATCCTCAGATCTCTCTCTCTCTCTCCTCTCTCTCTCTCTCTCTCTCTCCATACATATGTGTGTATTATGTATATATATATTATATATGTCTGAATTTCTATTTGGCTCCTAGTAATGTTAACATAATTTACTCCATATTATGTAGTTTCAATAAATAATACCAACACTATATTAAATGTAATAAGTGAAGTTTCAAATTTCTTATATATTTTTTTCATCTACAGAAAATAAGCCTACAAAAGATGCCTAGTCATGTATAGCACTCTTTTTGTTATTGTTGGTTATGGGGCTTGAACTCAAGTCCTGAGCACTGTCCCTGAGATTTGTGCTCAAGGCTAGGACTCTACCCCTTGAGCCACGGCGCCACTTCTGGCTTTTTCTGTTTGTGTGGTGCTGAGGAATCAAACCTAAGGCCTCATGAATGAGAGGCAACCACTGAACCACCTTCCCAGCCCTATGTATAGCACTCTTTTTCTTTTCTTTTCTTTTTTTGCCAGTCATGGGGCTTGGGCACTGCCTCTGAGCTCTTGAGCTCAAGGCTAGCGCTCTACCATTTGAGCCACAGCACTATTTCTGGTTTTTTCTGCTTATGTGGTGCTGAGGAATCGAACCCAGGGCCTCATGCATGCAAGGCAAGCACTCTACCACTGAGCCACTTTCCCAGCCCATGTATAGCACTCTTAAGGAACTTGAAACAACTCTTTTCTTGATGATTCTGTGATCAGTTTTCTATATCAGTTTAATACACAGTTCTGTTCATTTGATTTTTTTTCAACTTTACCCCCTATCTCATTCACTTCATAAGATAGGCTGTGCGGTGC